CACAGCTTCTCTGGGAATTCCATCCCAGCCCCTCCCCACCCTCCCAGCCAGCAATTCCTTCCCAATATCCAACCTAAACCTATTAAAGCCATTTAAAGCCAACTTTTCAGGCTCCAACCTGCCCACAGCTCATTCCCAACCCTGGGCTTCCCAGTTTGCTCCCAGCTCATCCCAGGGACACGTTAACTGGGGGGGAACTCAGCCCCCTGCAGCCTTTGTCCCCCCAGCAGCACTAATTGCCACCAGGAACCATTCCCACGGATTCCTCCTGCTCCCGAGCCCTTCAGCTTTTCCTTAGGTCAGGTTTTGCTGGAATGCAGGGATCACTTTGGAATTGGAGGGGTATTTAGTGCCGGGTCAAAGAGCTTCCAGGAATCCAAGCTCAGCATCCTGGGAAATTCAGCTTTGCCGTTAAACTTGTGACCTCCCGGGAGAAGGGAATGACACAGCCAGGTTTCCATGGCTGGGGATAATTATGGAATATCCTGAGCTGGAAGGGATCACAAGGACCATCCAGTCCAGGGTATCCCAACAATGCCACCCCTGTGCCCCAGAGGATCATCCAAACCCTCCTGGAGCTCTGGCAGCCTTGGGGCCGTGCCCACTGCCCTGGGGAGCCTGGGCAGTGCCAACCACCCTCTGGGGGAAGAGCCTTGTCCTGAGATCCAACCTGACCCTGCCCTGGCACAGCTCCAGCCCTTCCCTGGGTGCTGTCCCTGGTCCCCCCAGAGCAGAGCTCAGTCCCTGCCCCTCCTCTGCCCCTCCCCAGGAATTTGGAACTGCCCTGAGCTCTCCCCTCAGTCCCTGTGCCCTCAGCTGCTCCTCATCCAGGAGATTCCATGACCTCATCCCAAAATCCTCTCTGAAGGCTTCTCACGACCTTCTCCTCGAGGCCCTTCACCCTCATCTTCGTCTCCCTCCTTCGGATGCTCTTTAATGACTTAAATCTTTCCATGCTCTCCGTTAATCCCTCACAATCCCCTCAACCAAACCCTTCCCAAACCCTTTGCTTTTTGTTTCCATTTCCAACGTGAACTCTGCGTTATTGTCTTTTCTTTTTTTTTTTAATGATACATCTTCCCAAATGTATTATCACGCTCGTTATGCAAATGAAAAGACTTAATTAAAGCAGGGAAATTAAGCAGGAGAAACAGTGGCACTGATGCTGCTTCCTTTCAAAGCAGAGACCAAAATCCTGTTGCTGTCAGCGGGATCAGGATTTGGACCAGAGGTTAAATTCAGGCACAACTTTAATTTTCTTGGATATACGACCCGTAGTACAGGAATTTACACAACTCTACGTGGTGTACATTAAAAAACCTGTTAATACCACCCATATAAATTACAGCTCCACTTCCAGGAGCCTCCAAAGCACGTTCCTGGCGCTACAATTTTATTTCTGAAGCGTGAAATCCACGAGTATTAAAATTTTCAGGGAGCGGATCGATGGGAGAAAGGAGTTGATTTACAGTCCTGCTGCCAAATAAAATCACACAAACCAAACAGGAGATAAAATGCCATTCTGGGGGATATTAAAGACCTGGAATTTCACCCTCTCTGCTCATGATGTGATGTTCCTGTGCAAGTGGAGATGCCTTAAAATCTTAATTCAACTCTTAAATCCCAATTAGAGTTGAGCCCAGCAGGACATGAAGTCACCAAATTCCCTGTCCCATTCCTCAGGGAGGAGCCTGATGCTGCTGGGAGATGGGAGAAGGAAGTTGATTTACAGTCCTGCTATCAAATAAAATCAGAGAAACGAAAAAGCACAGGATAAAATGTCATTCTGAGGGATATTAAAGACCTGGAATTTTACCCTCTTTGCTCATGGGGTGATGTTCCTGTGCAAGTGGAGATGCCTTAAAGTCTTAATTCAACCCTTAAATCCCAATTAGAGCTGAGCCCAGCAGGACCTGAAGTCACCAAATTCCCTGTCCCATTCCCCAGGGAGGAGCCTGATGCTTCCACAGGAGAAGGAAGATGATTTACAGTCCTGCTGCCAAATAAAATCACACAAACTAAACAGGAGATAAAATATCATTCTGGGGGATATTAAAGACCTGGAATTTTACCCTCTCTGCTCCTGGGGTGATACTCCTGTTCAGTGCAAGTAGAGATGCCTTAAAATCCTAATCCAACCCTTAAATCCCAACCAGGAAGCAGAACAATTACAGCTGTGCCCAGCAGGACTCTGCCAACACCCACACGGAATTCCCAGGCTCTGGTACCCCTGGAGATCCCCCCAGCATCATTCCATTGCTGGTCCAACCCCCACACAGCTCCCAGATGACACAGTCAGTGATTCCCAATGCCTGGCATTAATAAAAACTCGCCAATAATTCCAATTTCTGCCCCTGACCTTCCAGAGCCCGGAGAAAACGAGACCTGAGCAAAGGATGGTGTCAGGTCAAGGAAAAGCAGCAGGAAAAGAGGAATTCTTTCAGGCTGGAATGACTCAGCCTGACATCCCCAGGTACCTTGCACTGCCCTGCCTGTCTCAGACTTCCATATTTAGCTCATTTTTTCCGTGTGCTTGGCCTGGGTGAATCCCTTCGGAGAGAAATGGAAGTTTCCTCCACAGGAACATGGAATGGTTGAGCTTGGAAGGGACCTTGAAGATCATCTCATTACCAGCCAACACCTCCCAGGTTGCTCCAAGCCCCATCCAGCCTGGCCTTGGACACTTCCAGGGATCCAGGGGCAGCCACAGCTTCTCTGGGAATTCTATCCCAGGGCCTCCCCACCCTCCCAGACAGGAATTCCTTCCCAATATCCATCTAAATGGACCCTC